TTATGTTTATTTATTTTTGAGAGTGAGACACACAGAGTGCAAGCAGGGGAGGGCCAGAGAGAGACGGAGACAGAATCTGAAACAGGCTCCAGGCTCTGAGCTGTCAGCGCAGAGCCCGACACGGGGCTCGAACTCATGAACCACAAGATCATGACCTGAACTGAAGTTAGGTGCTTAACCGACTGAGCCACCCAGGTGCCCCGGGAAGGAGACAGAATCTTAAGCAGACTCCATGCTCAGTGCTGAGCCCGACGAAGGACTCGCTCCCATGACCCTGGGATCATGACCTAAGCCAAAATCAAGAGTCCGATGCTCAACCAGCTGAGCCACCGAGGCATCTCTTTTTTTTTAAATAAAATATTTTTCATGACTTGTTTTGATATGAGACAACATTCTATGCAGAGAACTTAAAAAATTGAGATATTAGGGGCACCTGGGTGGCTCATTTGGTTAAGTGTCTGACTCTTGATTTGAGCTCAGGGTTGTGAGTTCAAGCCCCACCTGGGGCTCCATGCCCAGGGTGGAGCCTACTAACAAAATAATAAGATACTAGGTATTTTCGTGTCAAAGAAAACATTTAAAATTTTACTCATATTTTTAAGAAATGACTTATTTTGCTTTATTTTGCTGATCATCGACAGCGTGTTCACTGTCTAGGATGTACAAATGGGTTATTTGCATTTTTTTTTCCCACCCAGATAAGCAGTGTACGGATCTGTTCACGCGAAGAACTCGGTGCGATGTCTTGTGCCGAGGAGAGTGGATAAATCCGTGTTGATTGATGGTTCGGTTGACCACTCTGGACCTCTTTCTCAGAGGCTCTTAAGGGGAGGCCACGGGGGTCTGTGCAGGAAAGGGGCGTCGTGCATTTGGGGAGTGAATGCTTTGAAGAGAGAGAGTGGCTGTAGTTGTCTCTGGGGATGGAGGTCTGAGTTGTGGAGAGGCCCAGCGTCCTGAGAAATGGCAGCTGGGAGACGGGAGAAGGGCGCCAAGAGCTGTATCTCAGGCAAGGCTGGCGCCCTCTCCCCAGGTGAGCGGAGAGGAGAAAGCCGAGAGAGACCAGGGTTCTTTGCCTGTGTTGCGCTTTGCGAGCTGGGAGACACAGCCACTGGCTTTTTCTGTCTTTTCCTCTGTTCTTTCCCCTTTCAGTCCTCTCCACGTGGGCTTTCCAATCTCCTGTCCTGTTTCGAAAGCCACTTTTGTTCAATGCGACTCACGTGCCCGTTTTCATAACTGTGAGGGAAGTGCTCTTTAGTTGGGTGTGCTTGGTATTTACGTTTCATAGCGAATTCTCTTTTGTCTCTTTTCTTCCTTCTCTTCTCCCCTCCCCCCCGTTTTCTTCATAACCAATTCTTATTTATTTTTTTTTTGGCGTGAAAGCTTAGCAGAGAATTAAAAGTACGTCAAAGACCTCAAATAAAACCTAGGATGAGGGCATCTCTATTCTTATTAGGTTGATTATACCATCATTGAAACATTGGTGAGATTACAATTTTAGAATTTAAATAATCACTCTGTTGATCCTTTATAATGAAGAGGTGTGATTTCATTGTCTACCTTGTTTCAGTAATAGCGAGATTATTTGTGTTGCATGGTATAGTTGGAGAAAGGATTTCCATAAATCTAAGCAAGACATTACAAAATAAAGCCAGTCGAGTCGTAATCTTTCTCTACTCTTGACTCAGATTAGGAAGAAGCAGCAAGAAGTAGTGGGCTTTTTGGAAGCTAATAAGATCGACTTTAAGGAATTGGACATTGCTGGAGACGAAGACAACAGGAAGTGGATGAGGGAGAATGTTCCTGGAGAGAAGAAACCTCAAAACGGGATCCCTTTGCCTCCCCAGATCTTCAATGAAGAGCAGTATTGTGGGGTGAGTGTTTGATTTCTTGGGAAGTTCTCTTGCGTGAGTGTTTACCAGAAATGGTTTAAAGCAGATGAATTTGGAGGCAGAATTTGAACTTGTTGACAGTTTCAGGACACGATCTATTTCTCCCAGTACCCGGACGGTGGATCCATTGTGAGTAGTCAGTGCATGAGATTTACAAAAGGAGAGAAACAATAAAATGATGATTTGGAAGTTCCTGGGATTATTTTGGGTTCCTTATTTTGCTGTGAAGAATTAGCTCACTTGTTCAAATAAAGTGTGCATTTTGTTGGAAAGGGATTCTTTTTTTTAACATATTTTTTATTAAAACATTTTCTGTATTTTAGAGAGAGAGAGAGAGCATGTGTGTGCATGAGCAGGGGAGGGAAGAAGGGGCAGAGAGGGAGAGAGAGAATCCCAAGCAGGCTCCATGCTCAGTGTAGGGTGTGACTGGGGGCTCGATCTCACAACACTGGGATCATAACCTCAGCTGAAATCAAGAGTCAGACACTAAACCGACTGAGCCACCTAGGTGCCCCTGTTGGAAAGGAATTCTGACCAGTCCTGCAAGGTACCCATCCATGAACCCAGGCAGACACAGGTAGGCTTTCACTTTACAAAAAACATTTTTTTTAATGTTTATTTTAGAGAGAGAGAGAAAGACAGAGTGCGAGCAGAAGAAGGGCAGAGAGAAAGAGAGACACAGAATCCAAAGCAGACTCGAGGCTCCAAGCTGTCAGCACAGAGCCCATGTGGGGCTGGAACCCATGAACCACGAGATCATGACCTGAGCCGAAGTGGGATGCTTAATTGACTGAGCCACCCAGGCGCCCCGGCTTTCTTTCACTTTTATAAAAATGATTTGCAGGGTCACCTGGGTGGCTCAGTCGGTTAAGCATCCGACTCTTGATTTGGGCTCATCCTGATCTCACGGTGGTTAGATTGAGCCCCGTGTCAGGCTCAGCACTGGGTGTGGAGTCTTTTTAGGATTCTCTCTCTCCCTCTCCCTCTGCCCTTCCCCTGCTTGCGTTCTCTAAAAAAGAATGATTTTCAGAAGTCGGGTCTTCATACAGATACCTTAAATTTGTTTAAATGTATCTAGATTGTTTAAAAACTGTCCTGAACACTTTAATTACAATAGCAATTTTATTTTATACATTTAATAGTTCACTTCCCCAGAAAATCACTTTTTCCTCAGAGTTTTTTCCACAGTTCTGCTTTGTAAATCAAATTGTTGAAAAGAAACATTTAAAAACTCAAAGGGCTTTAGAACACGAGCACTGGAAGCTGGCTGGGGGTCATCTGAGCCTTCTAGGTCATTTTTCAGATGCCTCCATCAGGGCTCCGGAGGGTGGAGGGAGCTGGTCAGTGTTGTGTTGTTCCTGAAGGCTGGAGCCACCTGTAGGAATCTTGACTCACCTCTTTCCTTGCACGCAAAATGGCTGCTTCTTTAGATTAGCTCCTCTTGATTCTGTGTCTCATCTAAAGCTGGCATGGTCCAATTAAAGCCTGAAGGCCAAGGCCTGTGGCTGCCTGTTTTAGTAAATACAGTGTTATTGGAACACATCCACACTAGTTCAATGACCCATCACCTGTGGCTGATTTTGCATAATGGGAGAGCTGAGTAGTTGCCACAGAGACCATATGACTCACAAAGCCAGAAGTATTTAGTATCTGCCCATTTACAGAGAAGCTTTGGGGGCCTGCCTCCGACGTGAAGCACCGACTTGTTTGGTTATTGGAGGTTTGTATTCGTTTCATAAGGTCGATGTAACAAAACACCACAAACATGGTGGCTGTTGTGAGCTGTCTGTGCCCTCCCCAAATTCATAGGTTGAAGCTCTAACCTCCATGGTGAAGGTATTTGGAGATGAGGCCTTTGGGAAGTATCAGCTGAGATGAGGTCATGCAGGGAGGGGGTGCTTTGTGACGTGATTAATGTCCTCGGAGGAAGAGGAAGAGAGAGAGAGAGAGAGAGAGATCCCTCTCTCTCCCCCATGTGAGCACACGGCCAGAGGCAGCTGTCTGCAAGCCAGAACCCAGCCATCCTGGCACTCTGGTCTCGGGAGTCCAGCCCCCAGAGCTGTGAGATGACACATTTCTGTCATTTAAGCCCCTCAGTCTGTGGCATTTTGTTATGCAATCCAAGCTGACTAATTCGGTGCTTTAAAATAACAGAAATGTACTCTCGCACAGTTCTCGAGGTCAGAGGTCTGAAGGCAAGGTGTCAGTAGCATTGGTTTCTTCTGGAGGCTACGAGGGAGGATCTGTTCCATGCCTTTCTCCTAGCTTCTGGTGCTTGCCAGCAACCCTTGGTGTTCCCCAGCTCGAAGATATCTCTTTCCGATCTCTGTCTCCATCTCTCCTTGTGTTCTCCTGGTCTCTGTCTTCACTTGGCTTCTGTAAGGACAACATCATTGGAATAGGGCTCACCCCACTCCAGTATAGCCTCTTGTAACTAATCACATCTGTAAATATCCTATTTCTGAATAAGGTCACTTTCTCAGGTTCTGGGTGGACGGGGATTTGTGGGGAACAGCACAGGGCTGTATGGATTTACATGGCTGTGTTAGCATTGTTCAGAGGCTTAGCTCAGTCCTGTGTGTGTGTGTGGCGGGGGGTGTTTTCAAACAGTCTGAACGTGGCAAACTCTTGTTTAAGAGAACGTATAGTCCAGCCCAGGCCTCCTGTGGGTTTAAGCTGGGGCTTCCCAGGATGTAGAATGGAATTCCTATGTGAGGAAGGGTCCTCCCCTCCACCTCTCACTCTTGCCTTCCCCTGCCCTCCCCACCTCCTGACATCCCTGCATCCTGACCCATATTTCTAAGGCTTGGGGCTCTTTGTTTTTAAAAAAATGTTTATTTATTTTGAGAAGGAGAGAGAGTGTGTGTGTGAGCAAGCAGAGGGGAGGAGCAGAGAGAGAGAGGGAAAGAGACAATCCCAAGCAGGCCCGGCTTGGGGTTCGAACTCACAAACCATGAGATCATGACCTGAGCTGAAACCAAGAGTCGGACGCTTAGCCAACTGAGTCACCCAGGTGTCCTATAAGACTTGGGGCTCTTATTGGATGAGGAAAGGAATAGTGGTGGTGGGCAATTTTAATTTTAGTTTTTATAACTTTTCTTAATAATTGAAAAATCAATACATGTGCACACTGAAAACTTTAAATGGTTCAGGGGCGCCTGGGTGGCTCAGTGGGTTAAGCGTCCGACTTTGGCTCAGGCCATGATCTCGCGGTCCGTGGGTTCGAGCCCCGCGTTGGGCTCTGTGCTGACAGCTCAGAGCCTGGAGCCTGTTTCGAATTCCGTGTCTCCCTCTTTCTCTGACCCTCCCCTGTTCATGCTCTTCTCTCTCTGTCTCAAAAATAAATAAATGTTTAAAAAAAATTTAAATGGTTCAAAAGTTGCCTCTGGTAAAAATTATTCTGCCTCCCATGTCAGACCCCTGTGATTCTAGTTCCTTCCCCGAGGTGGCTGGCTTCACGTACTTGTGATCTGAGAAGTCACCCAGGCCCCACACTTAAGAGAGCTCTCTGCTTAGTTCAACACCCTGCTATTGCTGTCTTGAATTTTTTTTAAATGTTTATTTATTTTTGAGAGAGAGAGAGAGAGCACATGCACAAGCGGAAGAGGGGCAGAAAGAGAGAGACAGAGAATCCCAAGCAGGCCCCATGAAGTGAGTGCAGAGCCTGATGCTGGCCTGGAACTTGAACCCTGAGATCATGACTTGGACACTTAACCAAGTGAGCCACCCAGGCACCCTCTGTTGTCGCTGTCTTGAAATCCACAACATTTTCTTTCTTTTTTTTTTTTTTAATGTTTTTATTTATTTTTGAGACAGAAAGAGACAGAGCATGAGCAGGGGAGGGGCAGAGAGAGGGGACACAGAATCTGAAGCAGGCTCCAGGCTCTGAGCTGTCAGCACAGAGCCTGACACGGGGCTCAAACTCACAGACTGTGAGATCATGATCTGAGCTGAAGTCGGACACTTAACCGACTGAGCCACCCAGGCACCCCGACACAACGGGTTTTGAACAAGGGACCCGGGTTTCATTTTTGCATGGGGTCCCTGCAAATTACATAGAGGGTCCTGTTCTGGCAAACCAATGTTGGCAATTTCTAGTTTGACCTTCCAGAAATTTTCTGTGTATATTTATAATATACATGACATATATATTTTATAGATACCTGTAATATCTATGATACAGGATACATTATACAGCTATATATTGATATATTGTATATCCCTTAAAAATAGGAGCGCGCTATAACACTTGGGTTTTTTCAGTCCATAACCGTATCTCAGAGACCCCTGAACTGCACAAGCTCCTTACTTTAATGGCTGCCAATGTTCCATTGTATATGACATCATTTATGGACACAGCCCTCTAGTGGGGAATATTCAGGAAACATTCACACAGACAATGCTGCAGGAAACCTTTTTTGTAAAAATTTTGTTCTGTTTTTTGAGAGAGAGTGCGAGTAGGGGAGGGGCAGAGAGAGAGAGGGAGAGAGAGAATCCCAAGCAGGCTCCACGCTGTCAGCGCAGAGCCCGATATGGCACTTGAACCCAGGAACTATGAGATCATGACCTAAGCCAAAATCAAGAGTCGGACACTTAACTGACTGAACCACCCAGGTGCCCCCAGGAAATCTTTTGATACATACAGATTCTTGTACGCAGTATGAATATATGCGTGTAGGAATCAGTTCCTAGAAAATGTGCTAAGTTAAAACACGTATGCACTTTGTATTTCAGTAGATGTTGGCAAATGGCCCTATATTGCCCTGTGCCAACTTATGTGTCCACCAACCTAGTCTGAGGGTGGCTAATTCCCTGTGACCTTGACCACACTCCATATGCAAACTTCTGAATCTTTGCCAGTCTAATAGATGAAAAATATATTCTCACTGCTTTGACTTGGATTTCTGTCTGGATGAGTAAGGCTGAATTCCTTTTCCTATGTTTATGAGGTATTTGTGCTTTTCTGTGACTTGCTCTTTCTCTGTTGGGTCACAGGTGATATTTATTGGTTTGTAAGAGTCTTTATGAAGGAAAGTAGCCCTTTACTCCCATAGATGTTGCAAACTCTTTTCCCACATTTCTTGTCTTTTGAGTTTTTAAGCAGAACTTAAAATTTTTTTATGTAGACAAATTCACTGATCTTTTTTTCTTTATGGTTCCTGACCCCGAGTCTTGCTTAGAAAAGCTTTCTGCACTCTGAAATTATCAAAAGAATAATTTCATTTTTTTCTACTAGTACTTTTCCAATGAAAGTAATATTTTAAATCTTCTATTTTTCCTTATTTTGACTGTTATTTTTTTTTAATGTTTATTTTTGAGAGAGAGAGAGAGAGAGAGAGAGTGAGAGCAGGGGAGGGGCTGAGAGAGAGAGGGAGACACAGAATCCGAAGCAGGCTCCAGGCTCCGAGCTGTCAGCACAGAGCCCGACGTGGGGCTCGAACCCCCAAGCCATGAGATCATGACCTGAGCCAAAGTCAGACACTTAACCGACTGAGCCACCCAGGCATCCCTCTGTCAGGTTTAAAATGGTAGAGGGAACCTCAGGGACAAGCAGTGGTCTCTCGCACCAGGGTAGGGAGAGGAGTGGATGTCGAGGTAGTTCTGAGCACCGCTGTGTCCCTGCCTGTGCGAACTGCTCCTTGCAGAGCAGATGAAGACATTATCCCGAGGGCGTGGCCGACCACCATTAGCTAGAGAAAGGGGACACCCGACGGGAAGCCAGGCACAGTGGAGGTCAGCTTACCCGCCTGGCAGGAGTGCTAACTGGTCGTAGCAGACATGTCTGTCGATGCCAGGTTGGAGGCTGTGCATCTTAGCCCAGGTAAGGACTGAGTGCCTGCCTGGGCCTGAACACAACCAAAGGGGACCTGGGCCACTCAGCACAGGCGGGCATCCTCAGGGCTGCAAGGGAAACGGGCTGCAAGGCCAGTGAGGCGAGGGTGGGGCAGGGCTCTCTCAACACATAGATGTTACTGAACAAGCTATTTCACATCGTTGAAAACTTATTATGAGGGGTGCCCGGGTGGCTCCGTCGGTTAAGCACCCAACTCTTGACTCAAGATTGCACGGCTTCTGAGTTTGAGCTCCACGTCTGGCTCTTGCTGACAGTGTGGAGCCTACTTGGGATTCTCTTTCCCCTTCCCTCTCTACCCCTCCCCTGCTATCTCACTCTCTCTCTCTCTCAAAATAAATAAATAAAACAAAATAACAAAACAAAACAAAAAAGCCATGTGTGTACCAGATTTCAAAAGAGACTTCAGTACCTCACTCACCGTTTCCTTATTTACGTGTGTTTTTTTTTAATTAATTTACTTATTTTGAGAGAGTGCACGCATGGGAGGGGCAGAGAGAGAGGGGGAGAGAGAGAGAATCCCAAAAAGACTTTGCTCTGTCAGCGTAGAGCCCGATTTGGGGCTCATTCTCACACACCGTGAGATCATGACCGAAATCAAGAGCTGGATGCTTAACTGACTGAACCACCCAAGAGCCCCTGTCTTGTTTTTTAGTACTTTAGTTTGTTGGTCTTCATCCTACCCCACAACTTAGACATTTCTAATTATTTTTTTTTAACATTTATTTATTTTTGAGAGAGAAGGAGTGGGAGAGGGACACAGAGAGAGAGGGAGACACAGAACCCGAAGCAGGCTCCAGTCTCCGAGCCGTCAGCACAGAGCCTGATGTGGGGCTCGAACTCACGAACTGCGAGATCATGACCTGAGCCGAAGTCGGATGCTTAACCGACTGAGCCCCCCCAGGCACCCCTAATGATTGTTTTTATAGTCAATGTTTGTTTAGTTTATATTTACCCTCATATTTATTAATATCTTTGCTCATGATTCCTTCTTGCATCTTAGATAATATATCTGCAGTCACTTTCTGTTTGCCTAGTATAGCCTGTAAAAGTTTCTTTGAGTGAGTATCTATTGGTGGTAAGTTCTCTAAATCTTGGAGTAAAAAGGACATTTTTCAGGGGTGCCTGGGTGGCTCAGTCAGTTGAGCATCTGACTCTTGATTTCAGCGCAGGTCATGATCCCAGGGTTGTGGGATTGAGCCCCGAGTCGGGCTCCATGCCGAGTGTGGAGCCTGCTTAAGATTCTCATTCTCTCCCCTCTGCCCTGCTCATGCTCTCTCTAAAAAAAAACAAACAAAAAAAACAAAAAACAAAAAAACTAATGTTGGTTTTACCTCATGTCTAAAAAAGTTTCACTGGGTCTAAAATTCTGGGTTGATGGTTATTTTTTCTAAACACATGAAACTATTATGTTGCTTTCTTCCAACTTCTGTGTTGCTGTCCAGAAACCACTTGTCAATCTAATTGTCTTTCTTTCACGGGGAAGGGTCTTTTTCCTTCTCTCCCTTCCCCCTGCCTCCTTCACTCTCCCCTCCCACTCTGCCCCCCTTTTATAAAACTCCCCACCTTGAGGAGGCTCGAGGCTTTAGCCACTCTTGCTTTTACTCACCGTGGCATCAAAGTTGGCATAAAGATCTGCCAGCTTTGTTGCAAACTCAGCCTTGGTGTGTGCTTGTTCCTAGGACTCCTGGCCTCACCTGGTCGTGATCTTTCCTTTCGTATCACCAGCTCAGCAGTGCACCTACGCTTCTTTTCTCAATCTGGCTTCTTCAGGGCATCTAATGCTACTCTAACGTGACTGGAAGTTGAAAAAACCATTTCATACTCATGATTTCCTGTACCTGTTTGTTAGCATCAAGTCAGAAATCACGACAAATTGTTCTTTGGTCCTCTGAAGCTGAAGGAGCTATTTGGACCCAAGTTGAAGCAGAGGACAGTTCACTCAACTATGAGGAAATCGTTCTCGACTGGAAAGCTTCTAGAGTTGGCCAACTAGAGAAGTCATAGATCTTTTCGGAATTTTTGAAAAACAGCATAAATTTATTTTATTATATTTCACCTGCTCTCTACGGGTACTAACGTATTCTATCATGTGATCCTTTACCAACGCCTAGCAAGTGGGTGCCCCAGGAATCAGCCAGAATTTCTGACACCAAAGGATCACTTGCTCACGATGCTCTATTTCCTTCAACTCAGATTTGAGGCGGCTTACAAACATGTATTCAGCATACAAGAATAAATTTAATCACTGAGGGAATCCAGGCAACAGGTAGGAAAGTAATAAAGCTTTGGACAAGGTCGACACACAAGAATACACAACACTTTCTTCCCCATGTCAGTGGCCTGTATTTGGTTTTAAGGTTCTTAATACACATAAGAGTAGGGTAGACAGTAACACCACTGAGTTGGTGTGAGTGCCGTCTGTTCAAGCTGGGCCAGACACAGTGCCCTCAGCGTGTGAAGAGACTATATCACTGTCCTGATGACACACATTGGCAGTCTGGAGAAGTAGTCTGGGGAATACCTCGTATGTTTTCATTGTATGAAATGAGGGGCGCCCGGGTGGCTCAGTTGGTTAAGCCTCCAACTTCGGCTCAGGTCATGATCTCACAGTTCGTGGGTTTGAGCCCCCTGTCAGTCTCTGTGCTGACAGCTCAGAACCTGGAGCCTGCCCCGGATTCTGGGTCTTTTTCTCTCTCTGCCCCTCCCCAACTTGTAAGCTCTCTGTCTCCCTCTGTCTCTTTCAAGGATATGAAATGAAATTCTTCTGAGCTGTGGACCGTCGCACTACTGGTTTAGGGCTGGACCCGCCTGCTGGGTGGGCTGTGGTGGGGCAGCGGGGTGGCAGAGCGACTTCACTGAGCCCCAGACTTCAGTCAGTTACCAGGTCTCACCTCCTGCTGTAGTTTCTCCCCTTTGCCGAAACAAGTGTTGCTGTAAGCCCTCCGTAATCTTAAGGCTGCTGGGACCAGAAGGTCTGAGATGGGGCTGGTCCCCTAGAAGCTCCTATAGTAACACTGGAGAAATCCTGTGTTGTCTTAGTCCCTGCTGATCAGGGTCCAAATCCACGGGGCCAGATTACAAGGAAAGGAGCTAAAGATGTGAAACTTTTAGAGAATCCTTCACTCTATATATCTGAGTCTTGTCAGCGATTCCTGAACACAAACTGGTGTGTGTGGGGGTGTGTGTGAGTTCTCACTGTTCTGTATTCCACACAGTGAAATGATAAAAACAAATGTAAAGTTCATGGTTAGAGATTCTTAACTTTGGGGGTTAGTCATCTTTGACAAAACAAACTGGGATAACCTTTTGTGTTAGCTTCTAGCTTAATGACTAATAAAAAAGATCAGCTTAGGTAAATATTCTGGCTCTCCAGTGTGCAGTGGGTTTAAACATTTTTTTTCTTTTTTTTTTTGCTTCAAGGATTTTGACTCTTTCTTCTCTGCCAAAGAAGAGAATATTATTTATTCATTTCTTGGTTTGGCTCCCCCTCCAGGCTCAAAGGTAAGCTTACACACCCCATTGAGGCTCAGTACGAGTCATAGTAAATGAAGATAGAAATCAGCATCCAAGCTGTTTAATAAATGATGATCTTTTTTAAAAAAATTTTTAATGTCTAATTTTTGAGAGAGAGAGAGAGAGAGAGAGAGACAGAGACAGAGCATGAGTGGGGGAGGGGCAGAGAGAGAGGGGGAGACCCAGAATCTGAAGCAGGCTCCAGGCTCTGAGCTGTCAGCACAGAGCCTGATATGGGGCTCGAACTCATTAATGGTGAGATCATGCCCTGAGCTGAAGTCGGACGCTTGACCAACTGAACCACCCAGATGCCCCATAAATGATGATCTTTAAGTTAACACGATTTTTAATATATTCCTTATTCTGATGAAGTCTTATGCATAGAGATAATGCAAGGTTTTTACTAAAGTATGTTCCAAAACTATGCTTTTTATATTTTTGCTATATTTTTTCTATATTTTATACCTTGTTGTAGTAGGTTTTACAATACTGAAATTAAGAAATACTGCATTCAGTAATTTTAAATACACTAAATAAAGATGTACAAATTTGAGTTCCCAGATTGTGTTTATGAAGTTATTTTTTAATGAACTGACTTCTTATGTGACTTATTTTAGTTAATTTTACAATACTATATCACCCTATTTTAATTCTATTTAAAATGAGTTGAACTTTGCTTTTTTATCTGATAAAGAGGGGGGAAAGTAAAATCTAGACACAGTCTCAGCGGGTTTTTTTTTTCTTCTGGTGTTGTCTCATCTTTGATTACGTAAAATTATTTCAGTTTCATACAGAATTATGCTAATGAAGCTAATATTAGGAATTTGCCTACTGGAGATCACCTAGCTTCAGTCTCTGCACCAAATCACTGCATCCTTACTTCTCCCAAGATCTCACACATGACTGTCCACAGATACAAGACAAGTACACATTTGTTTGATTCATGTATTTCTTAATTTGTTTGTACTCAGCTTCATTTCAAAAATGATTTGTGATGATTGAGTCCAAATTAATTCTCATTGTAGGAGAAACACCTCAAAATGCTACCTTATAGAGATGGGTTGGTCTCAGAGGCATGTGGCCGTGCTGTCTTTCATATGTCAGCATTCTTCAGGTAACGCCATTTGGGACCTCTTAGTGCTCAGGTTAACATGTGCGAGTCTAGCACCAATTCCTTGTCCAAAGGTAACATGTAGGTTTCACAGTTGGTTAATGGGTTTATAGGAGGAAGAAAATCTTCCCTTTTAGTGAAATACCTTTCTGGCCTGAGTCAACTTGAATGCAACACATTTCAAATGCCGTATTGACAATTAAAAAAAGGGTATTACATGCAATCTAATCTTTTTTAATTGGTGTAGGAGTTTGGTCTGAGGGTTTTATTTGGTATAGGAGTTTGTTTACTGAGTCCTATTTAGTTATTATGTTTAAGACACGGTGCCTTGGTGTTAAGGTATATTTCTTGGTGGGGACGCTCAGGTGACTTGTGTCTTGAAGATAGGAAGGAAGGGTAGAGGGAAGACTGTTTCGGGCAAAGGGAAGAGCAAGTGCAAAGGCCCTGAGGCAGGAAAGAGCCTGGAAATTGTAAGAGCTGCCACAAGGTCGGCATTGCCAGAGTGAGGGGTGGGGGTACCACAGGAGGTGGGATCTGCGGGTAGGCAGCCCATGGGCCACAGCAATGTTCCAGATTCTATCTCAGGTGCAGTGGAGATGATGTAAGAGGTTTAAGTGGAGAAGTAGTCTCTCTTTTGTTTGTTTTTGTTTTATTTTATTAATTATTATTATTATTTTTAAATATAATTTATTGTCAAATTGGCTAACATACAGTGTGTAAAGTGTGCTCTTGGTTTTTGGGGTAGATTCCTGTGGTTCATTGCTTACATACAACACCCAGTGCTCATCCCAATAAGTGCCCTCCTCAATGCACATCACCCACTTTCCCCTCTCCCCCATGCTCCCATCAACCCTCAGATTGTTCTCTGTATTTAAGAGTCTCTTATGGTTTGTCTAGTGCAGAAGTATTCTTATCTCTTTCTTGAAAACTCATTTTGGCTTCTATGGGATAAATGGACTAGAAGGGTACAAACTGTCTTGGCAATGGATGAGATATCATGGCGACTTGGACCAGGGTGGTGGGATAGAACGATACAGAGTGGAGATTTTAGGGCCTGTTTTGGAGGAAGACTTGGTAAGACTTCCTGATGGATTGAATGTGGGGGTGGGGATGGAACGAATGAGTGCTTCTAGCCGTTGGGTATAGACATTCACTTTGGTTGGAGGTGCCATCTTTACAGGGGGGGTGTTAAGTTTGAACAAGACATCTAAGTGAAGAAGTGAGGTAGACAGTAGTGAGTTGATCTGTGTCTCATTGAGGTCTGGTGGAGGAGGCACATGGGGAATCCACTAGCATGTGGGTGGGGCTAAAGTAGAGAGGGGGTCAGTAGCAAGGAGGCCGGGCTTGGAGGTGCTCCAAGCTTAAAGCATGGAGGATAAGCAGAGGCCGGTTGAGGAGGCAAAGGTGGACAGTCTTGAGGCACGAGGAGACCCAGAGCGTGTGGTGTTAAGGCAGCCAAGGGGGAACATTTTTCACACAAGAGGGTCTGATGCTTCCGAGAGATTGAGTCAGTGAGGACAAAAAAGTGACCATCTGCCTAGATAACACAGAGGTCCTTGGTAGCCATGTCAGAAGTAGTCTCTGAGGAGGGGTGAAGATAGAAGCAAGATTGGGGGGGTTGAAGGAGAGCTGGTGTAAGAAGGAGGAATTACATATGGTCAGTTATCTCTGGGGAGTTTCCCAGGGACGGGAGAATATGGCAGCAGCATTGTTTTTAAAGCGTCTGCACATTACTGCTGTGGGAACCTTGGGTCCAGGCGCTTTGAGCTGCTGGCGCCAGGTGTCCTTGCCTTCTCTCTCCTGCCACCTGCTGGACAGACTCCTGCTACTTCTCATCCTCCCCTTTCCAGGCCCCAGACCAGTGGGCGGTGGGAGGGGAGTCTAGATTTTACAGCTGAAGACCCAATGGGGGGTTTTGTAAACAACACAGACTTTTCTATTCCGGGTCAATGGTAGTCTGGCCAAGCCTAGGAAGGAGGATTTTCCTTTAACCTTTTATAGGTCAAATTCTTAGAGCCCCCCTCTTCCCCAGGAGTCACAGTGAATGGGGGGCAGAGGGGCAGCAGAGCAGAACACCCTCTCTGTTCACAGACCATCCTGGGCGTCATGTTCTTTCCATTTCTTTTCTTGTAATGTGCTGTTTTTCGTAATGATCATTTCTTACTTTTTAAAAGTGTGTTTGTTTATTTTAACGTTTATTCATTTTTGAGAGAGACAGCGTGAAGTGGGGGAGGGGCAGAGAGAGAGGGAGACCCAGAATCCGAAGCAGGCTCCGGGCTCCGAGCCGTCAGCACAGAGCCCGACGCGGGGCTCGAACTTACGGGCTACGAGATCATGACCTGAGCCAAAGTCGGACGCTCAGCTGACTGAGCCATCCAGGTGCCCCACTAACTCTTCAATTTTCTAATCTCTTCACTTTCATTTTCTGTGTTTTTGTCTTTCTCTCCCTTCTGGGACATTTCTTCCACTTTTTATACCACCTTCTATTTTTTCCCCTATCGATCTTGTTTTATTTCTCACAAACTTTTTTTTTCTCTTTGGTTTTCTCTGGCTACTCCCTTACCAAATAGCTTCCTGTTCTTGTTGTACAGGTTCATTATTTTTCTTACCTCTGAGTTTTTTAAATACGGTTTTTCTTTTTACACACTTCCTTCAACTCTCTGCATTCTCTCTTTCTCTAAGTGCCCCCTTTCTCTGTTTCCTTTTTATTTTTATGTAAGATGTTTTTCTCAGATGTGTGTGGGGACCCTTGACTGTATTTAAGATCAAGGTGCTAAAAGGCTGAATGGATGCTCTATATCCATGATCAGGACTGTCCGGGTGGTAGACTTTCGCATGGGATGATTTAGAGAGGACTTACTGGCTTTCTGTTGGGGATCCTGTACCGTGGGCTTTTTCGGTTGGTTCAGGTGAACTTCTCCAGGGAGGAATCTTCCATTTCCTGAAGTGGTAGTGGGGGTGGTGGAGGTGATGGTGGTGGTGGTGATGGAGGTGATGATGGTGGAGGTGATAGTGGTGGGAGTGATGGCGGTGGTGATGGTGGTGTTGGTCGTGGAGGTGATAATCGAGATGATGACTGTGGTGGTAAGCGGAGAGTAATTCTGGTTGCCAGTGTTCTGGATGCAGGTTGGGAAGGGGGATAGGAATGTCTTCTTTTTTATGACGTGAACTTCTCAGGTAGATCCTGGGTCCCCACCTCAGCTGGCCTCATGATCAAGAGGTCAGAGTCTTTCTGGTTCAACTTGTGCAGAGACTAATCCTCTTTGAGTAGGCAGTTGCCTGCCATCCAGGAATGTGGAGGGAATCTAAATCTGCTTCTCATTCCCCCTCATCCCTTTTTGTAAGAAATGATGTCTTAGATTTTTTGAGGTTAAGCCAATTATTACTCAACCGTTTCCTTTTCTGCCTTCAAAATTTGTGGACTTTTTTTTTTTTTAATGCAGTAGCCTCTCACTTGTTCTTTTTGTCCTTGTAAGTTTACCCTTTAAAAGAAAATGTCTTTGGGGCGCCTGGGTGATTCAGTCGGTTGAGCGTCCGACTTCAGCTCAGGTCATAATCTCACGGTCTGTGAGTTTGAGCCCTGCGTCGGACTCTGTGCTGACAGCTCAGAGCCTGGAGCCTGCTTGGGATTCTGTGTCTCCCTGTCTCTCTGACCCTCCCCCGTTCATGCTCTGTCTCTCTCTGTCTCAAAAATAAATAAACATTAAAAAAAATTTTTTTTAATACAACAGAATGTCTTTTTTAAAAAACATGTTTATTTTATTTATTTTGAGAGAGAGAGAGAGAGTGAGTGCAAGCTGGGGAGGGGCAGAGGGAGAGAGAGAGAGAATCCTGAGCAGATTCCACACTCATCGCAGAGCTTGATGAGGGGCTTAAT